GGAAATGAAGAGTATTGAGAGAGAGAGGGAGAGATGAGAGAGACTGAGGATTAGAGACAGATTTGATGATTGGAGTAGAGATTTTGTATCTGATGAGGAGGAGAGATTGTGAGAAGAGAGAGATGAGAGCTGAGGATGATGAGAGAGAGAAAGAGATCGACTTGGAGAGTGTCTAATCAGAGATCCTTACATGATGGATGATCCTGATCCTGAGGAAGAAGAGAGAAGGAGAGTGATTGAGATCGGGATGCCGGATGGCTGACAGTTGAAAAGAGAGAGAGATGATGGACTCTGAGAGCAGGAAGGATGAGAAGAGAGAGATGGAGAGATGATCTGAAGAATGAGATAATTGAGAGGAAGATTTCGACGATTTCCGGATTGATCGACTCGAGCATGAGAGAGAGAGAGATGGAACTGATTTTGAGATCTGATGAGATGCGATGCGAGATGGATGATGATACTGATTTGATTTTTGATCTGTCTTATGGATTTTTTTTTGTAGTTTGAGATGTGATGATGGTGGTGCTTGTTGATTAGTTTTAGGCGTAGTTGAGATGAGGAAAGAGAGCATGAGTTGAGATCGAGAGACGAGATGTATGTAAGATGAGGATGAGGATTGAATGGGGGAAGTAGGGAGATGATGTGATGTGTAGTATGAGGACGAGATGAGGGGTGCTGAGTGAGAGAATGGGAATGTGAGAGGGGATTATGGAGGAGATTTGTGTGAGGATGAGAGAGAGATTTGATTGAGAGATGATGTTTATGGAGAGGTGACTTCTGTGCTCTTCTTTATGTGATTCAGTCGAGTTTGGCTTGTTTTATTGTAGTTTTCATGTGATGGTTTATTTTATGTGTGTTTCGTTTCGACATTTTTTGATTTTTTTATTAATTTTATTTTTTTTTTTTATAGTATTTTTTTTGTGTGTGACGTGGGTGTGTGTGGTAGTGGGATGGTATTTCGTGATTTTGTGTGGTCTGAGCAGTGAGGTGGGGAGAGAGTATGAGGAGAAGAGACGTGTTTAGGTGAGAGATGGAGAGGGGAGATTTGATGGAAGATCTTTAGTATGCGGGTGGGAAGTGGGTATTTTTTTGAGAGTAAGGGGGGTTGAGGTAGTGAGGTTGAGGGGATGGAAGGGGGGGAAAGTTAGTGGTGAGCTGAGTGGGAGAAAGTGCAGCAGTTGCGGGGTATCGAGAGTTGCAGCGTTTGGTGGAGGTCTGGGAGGGTCAACGGGTGCCAGATTTGGATGGTTTTTCGGGATTGTTCTGTGTTTGGGTGTGATGTATTTTTTATTTTTCGAAAATGAGAAGGTGCGTGGGGAGCTTGTTGTTTTTTCTTTTTTTCTGATTTTTTTTTCGCGTAGGTTTGAGTGTGGTGTTGTTTTTGGTGATCTTTTTTGATTTTTGGTTTGTTTTTTTTCTTGTATGTGGGAATTTCGATGGCGTCAGGAGGAGCGTGTTGACTGTTTGCCTTTATTTTGATTTATTAGTTGTGTGGGCTTTGATTGTTCTGATTTTTCGAATGGTCTTTTTGTGGGTTTTTGGCTTATTGTGCTGGGTGAGTCTGGGTGTTGGGATTTGTCAGGGATAGAGGACCGAGAGAGAGTAGGATTGTGTGCGATGTGACTTGGTGATGGGTATGTTGTTGATAATGTGATTTGGGATTTTGTTTTTTTCGTCAGATAGTTTTGGACTGTGTTGGTCTTGTTTTTTTTTTTGTTTTTTTTTTGGTTTTTTTTTGGATGGTTGTGTTCTTGTATTTTTTTTTTGTCTTTCTGATTGTATTTTTATTTATTTGTTTGATTTTGTATTTTTTTTTTTGTTTTTTTTTTTGTATGTTACTGGATTTTTTTTTGTATTTTTCTTTTTTTGTTATTTTTTTGTTTTATTCGTTTATTTTGTTGTGCTTTGTTTGTTTTCTGTTTGTGATTTTTTTTTGTATTTTTCTTTTTTTTGTTTCTATTTTTGATGTAGTTTGTATCGTTATGAGTAATTTACTTTAGATGAGAATTATGATTTTATCTTTTTTTTTTTGATTTTGTATTGGATCAGAGTGTTTTTATGACTCTTGTGACTGTTAATTTGATGTAAGTATATGAGAGCAGAGAGTAGATAGAAGAGATGATTTGAGTTATTTTTGATTTGTTGTCTTGGTATTGTTAAATTTGTATTTTTGTGTTATTATGTTAGATATGATGTTTGAAGTATTTGAGATTGTTTGTAGAGATGGTAAGCAGTATGATTTCTGATAGATTTGTAGAGATTGGAGTGTATTGTATAATGACTAGTGGTTGAGTTTTAGTTATTTTTTTTTAATTTTTTGTGTTATGGTGTGGATGTGAGATTGAGTTGGGGATGGGTTTGGAATGATGATAAAGGATGTGAGGGTTGGGTGGGGGTGGGAGGGGGGGGGGAGGAGGGGGGGAGGGAGGAGGGGGGAGGGGCGGAGGTGGAGGGAGGGGGTGAGGGAGGCGGGGGGAGGGAGGGGAGGGAGGAGTAGGTG